ATACATAGCCCCACTTGAACCTGTATGATAAAGATGAAAACAAGCAACGAAGGAAGTTATTGAATGTAAGCAAAAGATTGTCATCCTGGCAGTGATGCGCTCGTCATCATTCATCTTCTCTACCTGGCCCTTTTTCTTCTACCAAGTCCTTCCGTAAAAATATGTTTTATGACCATCCCTCCAACCCTCTTCCTTCTTTCCTGATACATTAGCCTACCTGAATAACTAAAATAGACACCTACAGCTATATTGTATATGTATGTCTCCTCGGTGTTTGTTTGTATGTATGCATGAATGAATGAAGTATTCAGCTCACAATTCCATAAATATTTATGAGGCAAACGTGTGAAAAAAGTGTCATTATGATGAATATGAAAACATTACTTTTCCCAAGTAATTGAACGTAACATTTTTCCGTTCATTCGTTCATTTTGCACCCACGAGATTTTTCTTCTTTTTTGTTGTTGTGAAGTAACCTCTTGCCCGTTCTTCGAAGTTCTATGTTTCAACCTTGTGTGATTATTTTCCGGTGTTTTTTCTTCTTTTCATGGAAAATTGGTTTCGTCTCAAATTCAAGTAGTAATAGTTAAGTTGTGTAATCTGAACATTGGTGGGTGGTCTGAGATTTTTGCCGCACATTTTTTTTTTGCGTGAATTATGAAAAATATATGTCAAAATTGTTTGCGTTATCAAACGCAATTTTGCTATTAATCAAAAATAAAAGTCCTTCGAACGCTGTGAGAAAATAATAAATTGAAAAATATAAAACAACTTCAGCAGCAAAAATTTACTTTATTAACTATTTGAAGTAGCAGGAAAAAAAGAAAAATATGAGAGCAAATAGTTAAGGAAATGGTAATGCTGGAGGATATTAATAAAATCAAAATGAGAAATGGAATGAAAAATTGCGTGGAGTTGGAAGAACACGCAATGTGAGTGCGAAGGGAGACCTTTGCTTGGGCGAACTGAGGATAATCATCACAGACTAGCTGGAGGGAGTATTTATAGATGAACTTTGGAATATCTGAAGAGCAGCTGAAGGTAGTCTTTGTAGTCGAGTTGAAAAGAGTATTAATGGAAGAGTCTATATAGACAAATTGTAAAGTCTTTATAGATGACCTGAAATGAGTCTTTATACATGACCGGGGGAGTGATGATGTCTTTATAGATGAGCTAAATGGAGTTTTTTTAGGAGAGCTGAATGGAGTCTTTATGGGCAAGCTGAGGGTAGTTAAGAGAATTTGTATATATATGGCCTATAGGGATATTTTATAGTGAGCTTATTGGAACATTTTTAGGCGTGCTGAAGGATATCTATATTTTTATTGAAAATATGATGAGAGTCTATATAAACGAGTCGAAGGAAGTATTAATAGACAAACACAGTGGTGTATCTATAGGGTATCTAAATTGGGACTATAGTGAACCTGAATGAGAGTCTTTACAGAATGAACTGAAAGTTATGTAGTCCTTGTGGGCGAGTTGAAGGTCCGGAACGGAGTGTCTTTATAGATAAGATGCAGGAGCTGTCTGGATGAATACACGATTTGAAGATAGTTTTTTTTTTTTAACAAATACTGTCTTTCTAGACGGGACCAGAGCCACTCTATAGAAAAAATGTCGACGTAAGGGATAATCGTTTTTTTTTCTAGAATTGAAGGGTATGGAGCTGAAACAGGGGGTTCTGATGAGTAGTGAGTTTTTTTAGATAACCTGAAGATCAGAGAATATTTCTAAACGAGTTTATGGTCTGAGATATGCTGACGGAGTTGTTTTAAAGGAAGTGACGACAATTGTTTGTTTTTAGACAAGCTGAGTCCCAGGGAGTAGACTGATCTGAAAGTCAGGTTGTCTGTATAGATGACCTAGTGGCCGGAGAATATTTTTAAACGAGTTTAAGGTCTGAGATGAGCTGACGGAATTTTTATAGAAGAACTGAAGATAAATATTTCTTTCTAGACATACTGATACATAGATAGAAGACTGAGCTTTTATAAAAGAATAGGCGATCTGAGCACTAGGCAGCATGTAAAAGTAAACAAACCTTACAAGGGTTTTTTTTTATAAAGAAGTCGACGTTTTCGAGTCTTAGGGGAGTTTTAGTAGAACTGAAGACCCACGATTCTTTCTAGATGAATGGAGGCCCAAGAGTAGACGGAGTATTTATAGAAGACCAAGCTTTCTTTCTAGATGATCTGAAACCAAGGATTCTCTCTAGACAAGCTGAGTCCAGTGAAGACTAAGGTTTCTTTTTTGACAATATGAAGACCGGACAGCAGTTAAAGATAAACTGACAATCCAACGGTTTTCATAAATAGTTCGACGGGTCGTTGGCGTTTTTTTGTATTTTTTTTTTTTTTTTTTTTGAGAAGAACTGAACACCAAGGTTTCCTTCTAGAGGAATTGAGGCCAATAGTGCCTACGTCCACTGAAGACCATGTTTTCTTTTTCAACGACATGAGGACCGGGGTTTTTATGGACTAGCCGAAGGTATATGGGTCTTAGGCAGAGAGTTTTTAGAAGAACTGAAAATCTAGGTTTCTTTCTAGACAAGTTTAGTCCAGAAGTAGAGGAGTTTTTAAGAAATAACTGAAATAACTTTTTAAGAATAACTGAACTGAAGAAATAACATAGGTACCCTAGACGAGATGAAGACCAGAGCGTATATAAAGATGAGCAGACGTTCCCAGGGTTTACATAGACTAAAGAAGGTCTTAGGACCTAAGATAGAGTGTTTATAGAAGAACTGAAGACCTAGGATTTTTTTCTGAGATATCAGTTTACGTTCCCAGTTTTTTGTAGACTAGTCCGGGTTTTTATGGAATAATTGAATACCAGTATCACATCCTAGAGAAGCTGTGGGCAGGAAGTATTAAAAAATCAACTGACTTCAGATGACTTTTTATACCCTTCACTACTCTGTGGTACAGGGTATTATGTCTTTGTGCATATGTTTGTAACAGGCAAAAGGAAATGCATAGAATCACTTTTTAAGACGATATATGCATGTCCTTCCGTCCGTCTGTCTGTCCATGTTAAATTGTAAACAAAGTTCAGGTCGCATTTTTGATTCTAAATGGATGAAATTTGGCACAGCTCATTTTTTTTTGCCCTATTGAAATTTGGAAAAAAATCGGTTCAGATTTAGATATAGCTCCCATATAAATTTTCGTCCGATTTAAGGTAAATGGTGTACCAAAGTCCCTATATATCTTTCGATTTGCACGAAATTTGGTATACCGTATTGAATTAGCTCTAGAATTATGTGTGTTAAGTTTCCGGAAAATCGGTCCAGATTTAGATATAGCTCCCATATATATTTTCGTCCGATTTAATGTATATGGTGTACCAAAGTCCCTATATATCTTTCGATTTGCACGAAATTTGGCATAGCGTAATGAATTTGCTCTAGAATGATGTGTGTTAAGTTTTCTGAAAATCGGTCCAGATTTAGATATAGCTCCCATATATATTTTCGTCCGATTTTACACAAAACTGACACAAACTTTTCACAACTTACTGGAGTTAGAATAACCTAGAAGTTGGCTTTAAATGCTTTACCATGGTGGGTCCAATCGGCACAAAATTTTACTCTACGTATTGAAGTTACTATAACATAACGTGTGACAAGTTTAGTCCAAATCGGATTAGATGTTGATATAGCTTTCATAATTTTGTCCCTTGTCCTTAAAAAATTCGACGTCTTTTAGGTTCCATCTGTTGGATATACCGAAAGTGGTGAAGGGTATCATATAGTCGGCCCCGTCCGACTTTACTACTTTTCTTACTTGCATAGACTTGCCGAAGTCCTTGGGTCTTTTCAAGAAAATCTGAAAGCCATGAGCTGAAGCAAAGAGTTTTTCGCCTGGACCGAACGTTTTGTGCGCTTTGAAATTTCTTCATAAAGTCAGGACCTTCATGTGGAGGTTATGTCACTGCAACTTGTCGGCTAATAGTTTGTTCGTGTTCTGAGAACATTAAAAAAAAAATAAATAGAAAAACCTGACTGAGATACTTGTATAGTGGCTACATCACACCTTGGGCCTGGAAATAAGTTGTTTAGACAGATATATTGGTTGGAATATGAAGTAAAAATCTTCAGAATATCGAATATGGGGAAGAATTTTAATTATGAGAGCTATGTCAAAACATGAATCTATTTTCAGAAAAATGATTTACAACCTCCAAGAACTCGAAATGCTCAATAACAGCTACTTCGGAATTTGGGCTGAAACTTTATATGAGAGCTAAGGAGAGATAAATTTCATGAAAGGGTGTCTCGAAAAAAAACCATTTGTCATTTTGGGAGAAAGTTTTATTTGCTGATGAAAGCAAATTCAACTTTTTTCCATCTGATGGACGCTTAAATGTCTGGAGAAGACCAAATGAAGAGTTTAGAGAATATAATTTACGAGCTATTGTTAAGCATGGTGATGCATCGATATGATATCGGGTTGCATGTCCGCTGATGGACCTGAAAATCTTTGTATTATTGAGGAAATTATGGATCAATAAATGTATTTTGATATCCTTAACAATAATTTAAGAGATTTAGCTCAAAAAAATGGTTATTGTTGATAATATCTCCTTCCATGAAGACAACGATCCAAAACACAAAGCCTTAAATGTGAAAATGAAATATAACTGACCCCATGTGTTGGAAACACCAACACAATTGGCGTAGTCTTTCCGAAGGTATTTTAGAGAAGGGTCGTTTTGAAAGTTATTTATGTAAGAAGTCTCAATTTTGTTAAAACAATACTTTGAAATATTATTTAGGCTTATTGCAGACTCTTAACAATAAATGCCTTCCATTATACATCTGAAGGTTTTTTAGAAGCACTTAAAATCGAATTTTGCCTTAAGAAGTTTTAAAATGAAAATACGAGTTTATGCTGGCCTTTTTTTTAACCTACTTTCGTATCTTATTTCTCATATAAATTATTTCTAATTATAAATTTAAAAATAACAATTAATATACAAATTTCCATTCAACTTACCTAAATTAACATATATTATATCGTCTGGTGTTACACTAAAACGGGGCGGTGCATGTACATCTAAATGGAACCATGTACCGTTCTTATGCTGTTTCGGATCACGATTTAAAAATACAACTTTACACTCGTACCAGCCTTGATCCGATTCTTTGATGTTGGTCAAATTAAGTGAAGCCGAACCGAACGGTGAGTCCGGTGCCACACGTGAGACGCGTCCCTTATAGCCGTCTTCAATGTGTTCGGGATAGCTTTCATACCATATATAGATGGGTAGATCGGAACCCTATTTATTGTACACCAGCAAACGGCACGAAAGTAAGTGCCCGTAGAAAAAAAAAACAAAAGAAGAAGGTAAGGGGGTGAAATAAAAATGAAACAAAAATAGAAAATACAATTAATTAATTTTCATTTGAAAATGCATTTATGTTTTCATATATAAAATTTGTATGATTAAAAAAATAGAAATGAAGAAATAATTATGTCATAATTGTTTGAATGTTATTGATTTTTGTGAAATGTTGTTTCAATTTGTATGAATTAAAAAAATAAAAAATAATGAATTGACGTTAAATGACAACAACAACGACGACGAATATATAACGTAAATAATAATCACTAATTACTTAAATGATGTTTTTGATTTTGTTTTGATGGATATTTTTGTTGTTGGTTTCTGTTATCAAAAATGTGATGTTGACAGACCAAAAAGAAAAATTATTAATAATAATTAAAATGTTTGTTTTAATGTTTATGAATACCATATATATGTTGTGAGCATAGTATAGTTATATTGGTTGGTTATGTTGTTCTCTGTGGATATTAGTTGAAAAGTTAGTTAAATATTTTTCAAAAATTTTGTTAAATAATTGCTAAACACAAAAAACAAAATACATTTGTATATAGAAATTAAAATATCAATGCAAACATTTTTACAATGGCTAATAGTGGTGGCGGGTGGACATTATATGTGTGTGTGAATGTGTAGAATAGCATTCTAATAAATTAGGGGGAGAATTGTATATTACACTATGCTACAAATATAGAAAAATACATCATTGGAAATAATTTATAAAGTTGACTTGATTTATACATATATTTGAGATGATTAGGACTTCTTCCATAAATATAGATACGATAGCTAGAGGCCTGTTTAGAGCATTTTTGTAAAATGAATATCATACTTCTAGAGTATTTCAGAGGAATTGTGAAGCAGGGAGTTTATAAAAATTACTGGAGGACATTTTTAGTCAAGCTGAAGTTCAGGAAGTATTTATAGATGCTCAGCTCATCTATAAAGAGTCGTTACAAACGTGTGACTTCATCTAAAGCCTGTGTAGACGAGCTGGAGGAAGATAAAGACGACTTGAAGCGAATCTCTGTGAACGGACATATATAGGCGGACTAATAAATTTGCTGTAGAAAGCTTTCGTATTTATAAACGAGCTAATAGGAGTATTTCTTAGACGGACTCAATGCGGTCTTTATAGAATAGCTAAAGGCATATGGTCCTTTGTATAAAAATTTATGGGGGGTATTTATAGCTGGACTGAAAGGGGAATTAATAGAGTAAGGCGACGTGAAGAAACGAGGGAGTCTTTGTAAATGAGGTGATGTGAGCTGAATCAGGTGTTTTTAGACGCGCTGATGGAAGTCTACATAGAGAAGCTGAAAGGAAGGGTTGAATACATTTTTTATAGACGAGACAAATTACGTTTTTGTTGACGTGCTGAAGGGAATATTTATAGAAAACCTAAAAAAAAATTTATGGAAGTTCAGGAGAGTCTTTAGAGGCGAGCGGAAGGAGGTCTTTATAGACGAGTGGGAGGGAATTGTTATAGACGTGCCGAATGGATACCTTATAGGTCAGTTGAATGGATTTTATATGCGAGCACATGAAAGTTCTTATAGATGCTGAAGTTGAAGGGAGTATCTATAGACAAGCTGAAGGTAGTTTTTATATACTAGCTAAAGGGAGCCTCTGTAGACGAGCTGAATGGAGTCTCTATAGACGAGCTGAAGTGAGTCTCTATGGACGAGCTGAAGGGAGTCTCTATAGACGAGCTGAAGGGAGTCTCTATAGACGAGCTGAAGGGAGTCATTATGGACGACATGAAGGGAGTCTCTATAGACGAGCTGAAGGGAGTCATTATGGACGACATGAAGGGAGTCTCTATAGACGAGCTGAAGGGAGTCTCTGTAGACGAGGTGAAGAGAGTCTCTGTAGACGAGCTGAAAGGAGTCTCTATAGACGAGCTGAAAGGAGTCTCTATAGACGAGCTGAAAGGAGTCTCTATAGACGAGCTGAAGCGAATTTCTATAGACGAGCTGAAGGTAGTCTCTATAGACGAGCTGAAGGTAGTCTCTATAGACGAGCTGAAGGGAGTCTCTATAGACGAGCTGAAGGAAGTCTCTATGGCCGAGCTGAAGGTAGTCTTAATAGACGAGCTGAAGGGAGTCTTTATAGACGAGCTGAACGGAGTTTCTATAGACGAGCTGAAGGGAGTCTCTATAGACGTGTTGAAGGGAGTCTCTATAGACGTGTTGAAGGGAGTCTTTATAGGCGAGCTGAAGGGAGTCTTTATAGGCGAGCTGAAGGGAGTCTCTATAGACGAGCTGAAGGGAGTCTCTATAGACGAGCTGAAGGGAGTCATTATAGACGACCTGAAGGGAGTCTCTATAGACGAGCTGAAGGGAGTCATTATAGACGACCTGAAGGGAGTCTCTATAGACGAGCTGAAGGGAGTCATTATAGACGACCTGAAGGGAGTCTCTATAGATGAGCTGAAGGGAGTCTCTGTAGACGAGGTGAAGAGAGTCTATGTAGACGAGCTGAAGGGAGTCTCTGTAGACGCGCTGAAAGGAGTCTCTATAGACGAGCTGAAGCGAATTTCTATAGACGAGCTGAAGGTAGTCTCTATAGACGAGCTGAAGGGAGTGTCTATGGACGAGCTGAAGGGAGTCTCTATAGACGACCTGAAGGGAGTCTCTATAGACGACCTGAAGGGAATCTCTATAGACGAGCTGAAGGGAGTCCCTATAGACGAGCTGAAGGGAGTCTCTGTAGACGAGGTGAAGAGAGTCTCTGTAGACGAGGTGAAGAGAGTCTCTGTAGACGAGCTGAAGGGAGTCTCTGTAGACGAGCTGAAAGGAGTCTCTATAGACGAGCTGAAGCGAATTTTTATAGACGAGCTGAAGGTAGTTGATATAGACGAGCTGAAGGTAGTCTCTATAGACGAGCTGAAGGGAGTCTCTATGGACGAGCTGAAGGGAGTCTCTATGGACGAGCTGAAGGGAGTCTCTATAGACGAGCTGAAGGGAGTCTCTATAGACGAGCTGAAGGGAGTCTCTATAGACGAGCTGAAGGGAGTCTCTATAGACGAGCTGAAGGGAGTCTCTATAGACGAGCTGAAGGGAGTCTCTATAGACGAGCTGAAGGGAGTCTCTATAGACGAGCTAAAGGGAGTCTTTATAGACGAGCTGAAGGGAGTCTTTATAGACGAGCTGAAGGGAGTCTTTAAGACGAGCTGAAGGGAGTCTTTATAGACGAGCTGAAGGGAGTCTTTATAGACGAGCTGAAGGGAGTCTTTATAGACGAGCTGAGTCTTTATAGACGAGCTGAAGGGAGTATTTATAGACGAGGTGAAGGGAGTCGTTATAGACGAGCTGAAGGGAGTCTTTATAGACGAGCTGAAGGGAGTCTTTATAGACGAGCTGAAGGGAGTCTTTATAGACGAGCTGAAGGGAGTCTTTATAGACGAGCTGAAGGGAGTCTTAATAGACGAGCTGAAGGGAGTCTCTATAGACAAGCTGAAGGGAAGAGTTGAATAAGACTTGAAGTGATCCCTTTGTAGAGGAGTTATAGCGAAACTTTATAGACTGGCTGAAGGAAAACTATTTAGACGTGCTGAAAGAAGCTTTTTATATTTGAGATTAAGGTCTGGAAGATCTGTGTATATCTGTATCTATGTATATTTTAAATTCAGGATGTCTTTATATAAGATAAAGGGGACGGGGATATATTTAGACAACTTGATTCCCTTTATAGACAAGCAGATTTGTGACTTTATAGTCGTACTAAATGGCCTGGAGGTCATAGTAGATTATTACAAATTCAGGGCATTTTAAGTCTGGATCAAAGTGTTTTTATAGATGAGGTGAAAATAGTCTTTGGCCCGCTTAGAGAAGCTGAGAGCCTTGAAGTTCTTTGTAAAATAGGTTAAAATAATGTGATCTTCGTAGGTGGAATTATGGCCAGACGAACGGAAGGCATTATGGGAGATCTAAATCATACCTATTAATAATAAAATAGAAGGATGGCTTTGCAGGGGACTTTTTAAAAAAATAATTAGCTAATTTCTTGATCAACTGTTTTGGAAAACTTCTAGAGTTAGAATGCCAACTAGAGGAGTCTGTATCTAATAAGAAGCCCTTATGCGGAAAACTCTCAAGATAACTGGTGTAGTAATAATCTTCCAAAGGACTTATTTATAAAGGCTTTTAGGACTTCGATAAATTAAAGACTTTGTAGATGTTTTTTGTACAATTCTGAGAATATATTTTTCTCATAATTACACTGATATTTTTGAAAAAAATTATTTAAAAAAATAACCTCTAAATAAGACATATCTTTCGAAGTATTTCTATGAAATAGCAGAAGGTGCATGAGGGCATTATATGAAGACTGTAGTTTGAAACTGGACTCATGTTGATATGTTTTTGCACTGTTATTTGGATCTCCAGTTCATTGGGAGGACTTTTATAGAAGGAATTGCTTTCTGATGACTGACATAATTGTAAGTCCTTCAGAAAGTGGATACCTTAAAGGTCGCCTTGAAAATTGTTTCATGTATAGGAAATTTTTTTGAAATATTGTGTAGTTAAGGTACATTTAGTATAATAAATATGTTCTATAACATTCATAAGACTTCTATAAATACCATACATTGTAATGGGTCCACGACAAATATACATGTATTATATATTGCTTACAATTTTGTAGCACAGTGTGTTTATATTTATAATTATTTAAACAAATATAGTTCTTCAAAAATCATTCAGTTAAACAAAGAGAACACTAAATTTTGTTTAGGTATTAATTTGAATAAAACAATAAACATATTTATATTTTTTCAATATCCTTTCTATAAATATTGTGTGAGTGTTCAATAGCTTTATAAATATTTCAAATATTAATGGCAAAATCTATAAAATTTAGAAAATGAAAAAAATGTGGAAAATATATAATTAATTGCATGCGTAATTTAAAATATACACATCTATATA